TTTAGCTTATCGGCATTGACTCAAGATGTGTTACCGATTATCATGTAGTCTTTTCTTATTTCATTTCAGTCATGAAAGGATGCGAGCTTTTTAAGGAACTTCGTTTTGACCACTTGCAAATCGTATCTATTGTAACAAATGGCTACAAAGATAATATACCTTTTTTCAATTATTTTGACTGCCCTTATAAATTGAAATATATTTTATGGAAAACATGCACGAAAAAAATACTTCTTCTTCTCGCTTGATAGCATATTACACCTTTTTCAATGTTATACTTTAAGAAAGGGTATGCTTCAGTTTCAGAAAAATTACTAAGTATGAGCTATTTTACGATTGTAAGATGTTCATTTATAATACGTCGTACCCGTCAATTTATTAATGCTACCTATAGTATCTAAAATATGCCCGACATCTATCACAACATTTTATGAGAACATTGCGACTTCTTGTTCCAAAAGTAGACAAAAGCGTACATTTCCTTAAACAGGATGTACACAGTTCGCAGTTTGTAAACCTAGAATTGAGTGTAGTAATCAGAAGGTTTCAAATTATCCGGCAATTTAGAAACTTTGTTAAAATCGAAAGATACCCTTTCTTTAGATATTACATTTAAAGAAGGCGTAATTTTCTACCAACCTAGTACAGGAAATAATTTCTTCGTGCATGTTTTACATGAAATATATTTTCATTTATAAAGGCAGTAAAAATCAATGACAAAATCGCATACTATTTAAGTAGTTACTTATCACAGAACATAGCATTTGTTTATCAGCAAAAAGCCTTCTTTAGGAAAATTTCAAATTTATTTCGTCAATTTTCGACGCGGACCAAGCGGTCGTCTTCAGACGTGGAAAACTGTGCGACAAACAACTCAACTGTTTAAACGTTCAGGAAATCAATATTAAATTGACGTTTGCACCGATTTGCGGGATATTTGGTCTGTGCTGGTAGGTGTTATGCGCTTTCTAGACAATGTAAAAGAAATCAGAGTCTCAACTGACGAAATCATGGTTTCATTCGATGTGGTCTCACTCTTGTCTTCGATTCCTCCGGATTAAGCGAGATGCTACATTGAAGTTGTACCGCAAGCGTACACCACTGATGTACCTGCACAGGCTTTATTCCAACTAATAGACCATTGTATTGAAACCAACTTTTCATTCTCCGAACATCACTTCCAACAACTTAAAGGGTTCACCCCTATCCTGCTTTCTGCCGAAGGCTGTTATGCAGAAGTTAGAATCCATTGTCCTCCTCACGGTCAAACCATACTTCTGGCTGCTCTATGTAAGTGACGCATTTGTCATTATCAAGAAAAAGAATTAAGACCTCATCCACAAGAAACTCAATTCCACATACCTAGGAATTGAATTTACATTTGAAATGGAGGTCGACGGACAACTCCCATTTCTAAATGTCCTTGTACATCAAACTAGTGATGGATCGCTCCAAAGAGCGTGGATCTCACCCATACACAAAAGTGGGAGTCGGGCGTCCGCAAA